GACATGGTGTCAGCAGAAGATATTGGAGCCTTCCTGCTCAGGGCATTTCAGTGCCGGGCTCTCACAAGCACACACAGCTCTGCCTGTTGAGCTGGCCATGGAGGGTAACCTGCACTTTGTCTGATTCCTTTTCCTTAATAAGTGCGTGTCTTGTAACTCTTTTCCCTTCTGCTGCCCTTGCAGAGCCATCCATAAACACATTTTCTCCCTCAGGCCAGGGAATGTGTCATCAATCTCTCCCAGCCTGGGTCTGGAGCTCTGTCCCTTGAATGCAGTCCTGGGTTTCTTGCCAGCCCCTCTCCAGGCTGTTCAAACAGGAGGCTGGGTTAAACCCTTCCCCTGTCCTCAGTTCTAAATCCTCCTGTGCCATTGAACGAGTTTCCTACTGTAATACCCGAGCACTGCTCCTCCATTTAGAGGCTCTTTTGGTTGTCAAAGCTTTAACTTGATGCCAGGCTTGAACTACAGGAGATCTCCTGTTGTCATCAGTTTTTGGGCCTCAGATTCCATGAAAGCTGTGTCTGCACAATTCTGTACAGAATGAGGCCACTCTGGCCACTGGGTTAAAGATTTTAACACAGGAATTCCTTTGGCGGGGCTCTGTTTAACATTCACCTACAATTCCAATTTCTTTTCTGAATCTGGAAGAGCCTGACTGAGGCATCAATATTTCTGTTTTTTCATTTTCTCAAGTTTTGTTCTCTTCCTCATTCCCCTACCATAACATTGAGGCTTTCTGGGGTTAAAAAATCCTTCAATGTTCTGGCCAGAACAGAGAATCCTCAATCCAGGTCCTGTAATTCTCTGTTATCCTTCGAATTGTCACAGCTCCTTTTTATCCTGGGTAACATTACTTCTGAGATTGCCCAGACCCTCTCTGTGTCAATGCATCACAAACCTTCAGTCAAAATATGTCCCAAATATTTAACCTTTTTTTCTACCATTTGCACTTTTCTTTTTTTTCAAATATTCTAAAGATGCTTTTTAGCCAGAAAATTCAGCCATTTCACAGAGGCTTAGATTCCTACTTCTTCTTCTCCTCCTTATTGGAGCCATGTGATTTCCTGACTGGCAGGATAGGAGTGTTGCAGGGAGAGATCCCTGGCTGCAAAAGCCCTGCCTTTAACAGGGACTCAATACCAGGCTGTGAGCCCCTCCTTCCCACCCTTGGAACAGGGTGTTGCTTTTAGACTCCACTTGTCCTGGTTGCTTCAAAGTAATTTGGAGAGGCTCCATATCTAATTTTGCCTCTTTCCCTGGGGCTGCCCACGCTTCAGGGTTCACTTCAGCATAGGCCTTGACAGACACTTGACACAGTGGTACAACAGAACCAGCCTCTGTGTCACATTTTGCAATATTAAAATCCTGCCGTCAGATTCCTTCCTAGTAAATTACACTCACAGTTGGAAGAAAAAGAAGTGGATTTATTTCAAACCTATCTCACACAGCTCCTAATAGTGGTTGAAAAAGTAATCTTTCCCACTTATTCCCTGAATAATGAAAGACATTTTTGGCTTTTTCCCCCGCCTTGGGTCTGAGATTCAGAGTGGATGGAGAGGCCCCTGTTTCCATCAGGAAAGGCCTCCATTTTTCAGTAACCTTAACAAAACCTTTTTAAGACCATCTCAATCCTTGCATGTACAGTTGGCATTTCCCAGATGTTCCTTTGTCCTCCTCCTTGTCCACACTCTCCCCTCCCCAGCCACATCCCAGAGCCGGTCCCTGTCCTGCCGCAGTGTCCAAAGGTGGCCCCCCCGGCGGGCAGGGCCGGCAGCTCCACGGGGCCGGGCAGCGGCCGGGGCGTCCCGCAGCCTCCTGGGGGCCGGGGGCCACTGCCGGCCCTGCCCGGGGCTGCTGGGGTCAGGCAGCGCCCGGCGCTGAGCCCCGGCTGCCCCACAGCCCCGGCCCGGCCCCGCAGCTCCCCACAGGCCCCCAGCCCGTGCTCCCGGTGCCGCAGCTCTGCGCCCGCTGCTGCCGCTGCCCAGCACAGAGAAACCCCCTGACATGCTCACCTCCTTGTTTGCCTCTCCTGGAAACCGGGAATTCAAAGTATTGGCTGGCAAATTTTGAGGATAAGACTCTGCTGAAAAACATCTCAGTCTTCAGTATTTTTATCTTCCTTCTCTTTTCCATCTTCGTTTTTTCACATCACATAGATTCCTGCTGCTGCTTCTTACCTTAGCAATATTCCTGCACACTCCCATTCACCCTTCCCAGCACACCAACCCCGTCCATCCCCTGTTGTCCAAATCCCTTCTCCACTTCCCTTATTGTCCCCCTGGGTATCCATGTCCTTCATTACTTCTGGGAGAATGTGCAAACTACCTCAACATTCTGCCAAGGGACCCTTCAGAGATATTTTGGGATCATCATCCCTTTGGCCAGGACCCCTTCCTGGCTTTCCCTTTTCTACCCTCCATGGATGCCTGGCCATCTCCCCAAAGATCCCAGTGCACTCACAGATGAGATTTCCAGTGCTCTCTCCCTGCTGACTCTTGACAGCCTGCCTGATGTGTCAGTCGTCTGTCTCCCGGTCACTCTCGGGTCCCCAATCAATCCCCGGTGCCTCCGCCGCCCAAGGGAGCCGATCACCCAAACTGGGTGAGGCACCTTCAGCTGCACTCACTGCCCGCCATGCCGGATGAGTCCCAAGGTGTGTGGAAAAATTGACATCACCAGAGGATTCTGTCCACAAATAAGACAGAGGAGTCCTGTTAAAGTAATTTCATTCCTAAAAAAAAGGAAGAGACCGTGGGACATTTCCCATGGCGTCTCTCCAATTGTTGGAGGACACAGCCTCCTTTTCACTCTAATTTTCCCATCTGCATCTCCCTCTCCCTTTCCCCATGGGCTGAAGTCCTTGAGAGCTACAGACATCCCAATCCACCTACTACATACCCCCTTAATATGCTCCCCACTTTTCTATAGCAAACGATATTCATGGCTCTGTCAAGTCTTTGTTGATTTTCTCGAAGTTCATAAATTGAGCAAGACCTTGGCTGAGCAGCAGTCTATGTCATCAGCCACTTCCTTATGTCCATGTCTCTTACCCTATCTCCGATCAGATTTACAGCATCTGTTTGTAAAGACACTTTCCTCTTGTTCCTTTCATGGGGGTCCCCCATTTTTGGGACAATCCCCCCTGGAGCAGGGTGTCCCCCCTTGCTGCAGCCCCACCCTCAGGCAGCGCTCAGCCAATCAGAGCGTGCAGCGCTGATGACTCAGCAGTGTCCAGGCAGACCCGCAGCTCCCAGCGTTCCCCACCTGGACCCCCC